CAAGAAACATGGTTAAAACCTCATTTAGAATTTAAGATTCCTGGATATAGCATAGAAAGACAGGAAGTAATGGTAGTGGAGGAGGATGTGCTATTTTTATTAAAGATGGAATAGCTTATGAGAAAAATCTCATGAATAAAGAATTAGAATGTGTTATTATAGAAATATTTAATGTAAGAAAATATGGAAATATTAAAATTATTAATTATTATAATCCATGTAAAAATCTTGAAAGTGATATATTTAGGGAGATGGCGGGGAAAATACATAGAAGAGAAATATGGTGTGGTGATTTTAATGCCCACAATAGTCTTTGGGGTAGCAGGAAGACAGATCATAATGGTAGCATAGTGGAAGAAATAATGGATGAAAGGTCATTAGTTTGTCTTAATAATGGAAAAGGTACAAGAGTAAATATACATAAAAATACAGTTTCATGTCTTGATATCACATTAATATCTGATTGTCTGGTTAGTTCATGTAAATGGGATGTCAACTGGGAGTCTACAATAGGAAGTGATCATTTTCCAGTAAGTACAATAATTGATGACAATATAAACAGGCAAGAAGATTTTATATTAACAAGATGGTGCTTTAATAAAGCTAATTGGCAAAAATTTAAAATTAAATGTGAGGAAACCAGTCATATGGTTACCTTAAAAGGCAACATTGAAGAGTGTGCAAGGGAGATAACAGAACATATTTTAAATGCAGCAAGTTATAGCATACCAAGGAAAAAAATCATAAAAGGTAAGAAAAAGGTAGTGCCTTGGTGGAATGATGAATGTAGCAAAGTGGTTAAGGAGCGTAATAAGGCATTTAAAATATTACAGAAAAATTTAACAACCGAAAATCTTATTGAATATAAAAGGAAAAGAGCAATGGTTCGTCAAACTATTAAGGAAGCAAAAAAGAAAACATGGAGAGAGTATTGTTCCTCAATAGGTTCAGAAATAAAATTAAAGAATGTTTGGTCAATGTTTAGGAAAATGACGGGGAAAAGGGATGATGTTAAAATACCAGGTTTAGCTAGAGATCAGGAGATAGTAGTTTTAAATAAAGAAAAGGCAGATTTATTAGGCGAGACATTTGCTGCAGTTCATAATGGTGATCATCTAACAGACATTCATAGAAGGCAGAAGCTACAAAAACTTGGAAATCATAAAAATATATTGGGAAAATGTAAAAAATGTACATCAACATTAGACATAAATATAACTATGAAAGAAATTAAAACAGTATTGAAAGGGACAGGATATTCAGCTCCAGGGGAGGATCAATTATGCTATGCTATGTTTCGGCAGATACCGGAAGTAACATTGAAATTAATATTAAAATTATTCAATAAAATATGGAAAGAAGGTACAATACCAAATAGTTGGAAAAGGGCAACAATTTTACCATTTAATAAACCAGGGAAAGATCCTATCAGTCCAAATAATTACAGACCAATAGCTTTAACTTCTCATTTAAGTAAATGGATGGAGAAAATAGTGGTCAGTAGATTAGGGTTTGTTCTTGAACATAAGAAATTAATTAATGGATACCAGTGTGGATTTAGAATAGGGAGATCAACAATGGATGCATTAATTAGAGTCAGTAATGATATAGAGAAAGCGTTAAAAATGAAGGAGATAATGGTTGTAGTATTTTTTGATATAGAAAAAGCATATGATTCATTATGGAGAGAAGGGTTACTTATAAAAATAAAGCAGATGGGAATAGGTGGGAAGATGTATAATTGGATAGCAAATTTTTTGATGGATAGATAAATAAGGGTGAAGATGGGGAACGATTATTCAAAAGAATTCAATGTGGAAAATGGAATACCTCAAGGTAGTGTAATAAGCCCAATTTTATTTAATATCATGATTAATGACATCTTTTCAGATACTGACAAATATATTAAATCTGCATTATTTGCAGATGATGGGGCCATATGGATGAGAGGAAAGAATATAAAACATGTAGTAGGAAATATTAAGAAAGCAATTAATAAAGTAGAAAAATGGTCTTATGAATGGGGTTTTAAATTATCAGCAAACAAGTCTTGTTTTATGGTATTCACAAATAAGAGAAATATTGATATAGGAACAATGACATTATATGGACAGACGTTGGAAAGGGTTACAGAATTTAAATACCTAGGACTATGGTTAGATATAGCTCTTATACATGGAAAACACATATAGATAACTTGGAAACTAAATGTAAGAAAGTTATAAATCTCTTAAAGGCTGTGGCTGGAAATAACTGGGGTGCAGATAGACAGTCATTATTAAACATATACAGGGCTCTTATGAGATCAATAATAGATTATGGCAGTTTTATTTATGGAGCAGCAGCTAAAACAACACTACAAAGGATAGATAGATTACAGAGTAGAGCTTTACGTATATGTACAGGAGCAGTGAAAACAACACCTATCAATGCTCTTTTAGTAGAGACTGGAGAAACTCCACTGGAAATGAGAAGAATGAAATTAGGTTTAGTATATTGGATGAAAATTAAAAGTAGTATGGATGAAAATGTAACTTCAACAATTCTAAAAACTTGTTGGGAATATTCAAAGTTCCATAGTAATGGATTTGGATGGGTTATAAGCAAATTGATTAAAGAGTTTGGATTAGAGGATAAGGAAATAGCACAATGTAATCCAATTAGTGTTGTTCCTCCATGGAACCTCTGGTTATTTCCTGAGATAAATGTAGACATGAGACTTCTTAAAATGAAAAATGAATGGAATTTAAACGAAATAGGGATACAGACTGATATATATTTAAGAAACTCTTATTATAATTACCTTAAAATATATTCAGATGGGTCTAAGAATTTAAAAGGGTGTGTGGGAATGGGAATATATATTCCTGAGTTCAAAATACACATTTCTAAAAGAATGTCAGATCAACTATCAGTTTTCACAGCAGAGATGGTGGCAGTTATATTGAGTTTACAATGGGTTGAGGAGGTTAGACCAGATAGGGTGGTGATATGCACGGATTCCAAAGCAGCTTTAGAAAGTATTCAGGGAGAAGGAAATAATAGGAAAGATTTAGTATTAGAAATTCAGCACAGTTTATTTAGATTATACAGGGGTGGCATTGATATTTGGTTTTGTTGGGTACCAGCACATGAAGGGGTAAAAGGAAATGAAAAGGCAGACAAATTAGCAAAAAGGGCTTTAGAGGAGGCAATAGCAATTACAATTCCTTTAGGGAAAGGGGAAGGAAAATCATTTATTAAGAGGAAAGAAATTGAAAATTGGCAAAAAAGGTGGAATGAAGATAAAAAAGGAAGAAGATTATATAAAGTACAAAAGTCAGTAGTAAAGAGAAATATTAATGAGAGAAACCGAAGGGAAGAAATAATAATGATCAGATTAAGAGTAGGTCATACTTATTTAAATGACAATTTATATTTAATAGGGAGGAAAAATAATGATAAATGTGAAGGATGTAGAGAGATAGAAAATATAGAACATGTATTGATGAACTGTAAAACATATGAACCTGAAAGGGAGAAATTGAGAAGAGTAGTTGAAAGGACAGGCCAAGAATGGAGTCTTAAAGGATTATTGGGAAATAAAGGAAATATAAAAGATATTTATAGATTAAGGAAAGCATTATTTATTTATCTTCAGAATACAAAATTAAAAAATAGAATTTAATAGATGTAAAACAATGTTGCTACACACTCATGAACAGTAGGTGGCGGTATGCACCTTAAGTTGCTTGCAATCCGCCATGATAGAAAAGAAGAAGAAGAAGAAGAAGAAGAAGAAGAAGAAGAAGAAGAAGAAGAAGAAGAAGAAGAAGAAGAGAGTGCGCGCGCACCCGCGCAATAGATGAGGCGCGCGCGAACGAACACGGTGAGCGGAAGAAAATGGGCAAAAACGGGGATTTAAGTAACTTTGAACGTGGTATGGTTGTCGGTGCCAGACGGGCTGGTCAGAGTGTTTCCGAAACTGCTGATTTACTGGGATTCTCACGCACAACCATCTCTAGGGTTTACAGAGAATGGTCCGAAAAAGAGAAAATATCCAGTGAGCGTCAGTTCTGTGGGAGAAAAAGCCTGGTTGATCCCAGAGGTCAGAGGAGAATGGCCAGACTGGTTCAAGCTGACAGAAAGGCAACAGTCCCTCAAATAACCACACGTTACAACCAAGGTGTGCAAAAGAGCATCTCTGAACGCACAACACGGAGAGCTTTGAAGCAAATGGGCTACTGTAAAAAAAGCGGACGGGCGCAGCAAAATAGTGCAATAAAAGATGGGGAAAATGTTGCTTCTGAGGGGAAAACGTTGTCTGAGGAGTCTCCATTTCTGCAGAAACATTCAGATGGTAGGGGCAGAATTGATCAACTCTACATTTATGTATTAAACATTTTTGTGGACCGATAAGCTACACGTTTTTAGAGTAATCAGAATTTTACCTTCCAGTCAAAGTTTGATTGCTCTAATGGTTTGTACATTTAATTACTTGTTGAATCGCACCCATTCCTTGTTTTATTTACAAACTACAGAAGGACATAGCCTTGAAACAGAAAGCAGTGGAACAACTGAAAGCCAAAGCCGCTCGGAAGGACCTTTAAGTAAGAGACAAAACAAACCTGTCATTCCTTAATATGACATTTAAATGCTGTTTTAAATGAGTTTATTCATCTAATGTAGAAAAATCTTTCTATAAAGCTTTTGTCAACAAACATTTCTCCTTTGTTTTTTTTTCCATATAGCTTGAGGAGAAATCAAGAAGTCTGGGAAGAAATGAATGTGATTTAGTGTTCAAAACACCAACTTATGATTTGGATCCACAATGGCAACGTCAAAATTATTATTATTTTTTATTGCCACTTTATATTTCTCTTGTAATTAACACATTAAAGGAATAAAGTTTGTATAAATTTCAATTTCAGATGTTTAATGTCTTAATTCGCAAAGCTCATGACAACACAATTATACAATATCCAAACATTTCAAGTTTAAATTCTTGCACTCAATTGCTGAAGTGTTTGTTCAAGCTGATCCATCTTTATATTCAGCTCTCCAGTCTCACTTGTCACGTCTCCAAATGTTCAATCCTCTTTGATTAACCTGAACACACACGTCTTTTGTTATTGTTTCTTTTCATTATGTAAGTTTGAGTCATTTTGCTGATGTATTGTGTGTCTTACGTTTATTCTTCAGTTCCACCTCTACTGGATAGTGATCACTCACTTTCAGTGCCTGTGAAGACATACAATATGTTTTAGGAACTTACTAAACCAGTCCTCAAAAAATCTGTAAGTTAAATATATAGTAATAATTCATGTTTGGTGGTATAAGTTTAAATAAAAAAATAAAAAAAATTTATTGTTTACCTCCTCATCTTTCAGTTTGAAGGCCTTCTGGAAGTTGAATGGTTTTGCAGAATTTGCAACAACAGCGTCCAGCATATCGTCTCCATAAACCACAATCCTGTGAACATGTGCTATTAATAACAATGATATCCTACTTTATGTCTATTGTACAGTGTAATTATTCACCGGTCGTAAGTGTTGTCGTTGCGTGTGCTGGCTGTGGTGTCCTCGTCATCCTTGATCAGCCAATGGAAGTCTTTGTCACTGCGGATGCGGATTGTTTTCATCTCTTTATCAGACACATAACTACCGTCTGCATTGAAGTCCCCCAAAATCATGATGTTCTGTAAAAGATTAGCATATGTTTGAAATATGTATTTGTTTTATGTTACAAACTTTGTATTATGTTGTAAGCATTTTATAAAATCAACAATGCGTGGCTTAATTCTCATTGCCTAAAATATGTGAGCTTGGACCACAAAACCAGTCACATGGGTACATTTTTGTAAATTGAATAAATAAGATTTCCATTGATGTCGCCTCTGGTTTGTTAGGATAGGACAATATTTGGCCGAAATACAACTATTTGAAAATCTGGAATCTGATGTTGCAAAAAAATCTAAACATTGAGAAAATCGCCTTTAAAGTTGTCCATTTATGTTCGAGATTGTGCTGTATCCACTCACAAAAATAAATGTTTTATATATTTACAGTAAGAAATTTACAAAATATCTTCATGGAACATGATCTTTACTTAATACCCAAATATTTTTGCAATCCTTACAATGTATTGTTGTGCCACAAATATACCCGTGCGCGTTTAGTTTCGTGATCCAGG